ATTGTAGAGGCAGTAAATTTAAGTGAGTTTAAGAAAAAGCTTGATAAGTATATGAAAGATAAGGGCTGGTTTTAAGATTTTCTTGTTTTAATTATTTTAATTTAGTAGAGGATGGAACAGCTGAGATGGACCAATAGGTCCCATGTTGTCCCAAAACATTATGTTATGCTAAGGTTAGAAACACATTACAGGTAAATGGAGTGTGTCTCAATTGCTAGATTCAAATGTTAATTTATTGTTCAAACAATATATATAGAGGAAAAATAATTCTGGTAGGTGAGTTGCTTTTACAAGTAAGATTAATACTTTTAACTATTTCTGGGCATGAGAGGTGTCATTGACATTCCCTGACCTTTTTTCCTTTCACCTTACAGTTTTGATTTCTTGCTATTGTTGATCAGAAAGTTCCATTTTATATACGTAATCAGTATAAAATTGATTGATACTGATTAAGATATTTCTTATGATACTTTATTTTTCAAATTGTATTTAGTCACTGCCTTTAGCTATAAATCATACAGAAATATTATGAAAATTGAATAGGGTTTCTTGATGACCTACAACTTAACCTGTCACAATGGCATCAGGAGAGGCTACATTGCAATATTCTTGGTCAAGATCAATTCATATGTAATAAATATTGTGAATTTTTTAAACATAATAAGCTGTTCACCTATCTACATTGTTTGAACATGATAAAACTCAACAATAATATCCAATAAATCAGAATTTGAGTTACTTTCCGTTATAGGAGTATTTTGCCATTGCCTATATCCTACTTTCTAAACCTAACTAGGCTTGCCTGCAGATATCTTGTCACACACAAACATTTCTGTAAATTTCAGACAAATATAATTTTAAACAAACTTTTTCAGGCATGAAAAGAATGTCTAAAATAACTATGAAAAATTTCCCAAACTATGATTTGTTTGCAAATATCCTAAACTTTGCATTCAATTCTTTTGTTTTCTTCGCAAGAGCTAGGTATTATCACTTTCCCATGAAACTATAAATTACTTCTCACTCTACTTTATTCGCTCTGTATTGGCATAAATAGTTTGCATCTTCTCTATCCAATGGTATTTCATCTTCATTGATAGCAGTTTTCATTAGTAGTTGTTAACATTACATGCTTAGAAGCCATGAAGGGATATGAATGAGTGACTATTAATGAAATCAGAGAAAGAAAATGAAACAAAAACATGAGAAGTATATTATCAGGGGATAATAGTTCCTTAATGAGTATAAACATATGCTTTGGGATGAGCAGAAAAAAATCAATAAATTTGTTGTTTACAGCTGAGTCTCCTCAAAGCTATGCAGAAAGGTAAATTTGACAATTTTGTTTCATTTTACTTTAAGTAAATATTACAAGATGACAAAATATTGGTTTTCAATATTTCATAGTAAACAGTTGTTCAAATATAATTATTATTTTTACTTAAATTTTGAAATTTGATATACAGGTATGCACTCAACACCTGAAAGTTATTCACCAGTCTGTATAGGACTTGTTTCCCACATCACACTATTCAGGGTGTACAGCATCACATTAGGGAATTAACTAATTTTTATATACATTTGTTAAGACCTTATTTTTAATCATGTATAAAGTGTCACAAGAGTAATAATTTATTAGTATTTTCATATTGTCGACATTGCATCAACTTGAACGCTTGTTCTTACAACAGTTGCCTTGTTTTACCCATTCTCAGCCAGCACATGTGCAACATGGATATATATATATATATATATATATATATGTAGTTATTGTATAATTAATATGTAATTAACAGCTAGTGGATTGTTTTTAAAACAATATTTAGTAAATTCAAATGTGCAATTAGCATTCACGAGTATAGAATGTTAATCATATAAAAAATTGAGTTAAGTGAAGGCATTGATTATACTTATACATCAGGTATGATCCATCAAAGCAAGGACATATACTGGGAGATTCTGACTCATGTCCTGCTGCTCCTGTTGCTGTGAGAAAACTAGGTACTCTGCATCTCACTATTGTGAGATTTTGCATGCATGCAAGTATGTTATATGGTGGAATGCATGCACCACAGGTAGAGTTCGATTTTTTTTAAACCTTTGTCAGTTCAGTTGCTTTTTTTGTTTGTGTAAATAATATTAGTATTAACAGCTTGGTTCTCTCTCTCTTCTTTTTTGTTATAAATAAAGGTAAATCGCCATATTATACTTTCCTTATTTGGTAATATAAACACCTTTTAATTTTATACTTTATAGTTTCTTTATTTCAGTAAGACGAATTTATATGTTGAGCTAAATTAATATTTTATAGCGAGAGAAATAATATTTATCCAACTCATAACCTCTTGCTATGGGTAGGTTAAAGTGTCATCAACTTTTACAGTTACATTAAAAATTTAATTAAACTGCTTTATTATTAACGTATACCAATAAACTTGGCATCAAAGCATAGTTAATAAATTAAATTTTAAAATTATGTAAGTTTTCATTTCTTAATTTTAAAAGGCAATATTTACATAAATCCTCAGTCTCTCCTTGTGTGAGAATTGTGACATTTGTTCTCTAGATTTCAACCATTCTCTAGTTTATTTATCCACCCCTTTATGAAGACTGGAGTTTAACATACATTACTCATTATAATATAGATATTACTAAGGCAGAGTCTTATTTTTATAGTCTTCAATCTTAATTGTTTACAGAGACAAACTATAAAGTCAAACCTTGCCTTTCTCAAATTGCCAATATTTCTCTCTGACATTTTATAGCATTTATAACCAATAGAAAGACGAAGTTTTGAAATACCAAATGATGTATTATATTACTTTGTTTTCAGTACGAAGTATTGTCTGTTTCGTCTTAAGTTTGAAAGCATGTCTAATGGTGTTCATGTCAAGAAGCTTAAGGAACTATTTTAAAACTTTTATGCTATAGTTAGAAAGTTAGTTAAATTGTAATTATTATAGGACATTGTTTGCTTTGTGCATGCTATTATTTTGTGTTCTTAGGTGCATTATTTAAGTAAATAAAAATTTGAAAATAAACGAGAGGTCAAAGGTAATTACTATATTTCTTGTTTTTCATGCATATTTTTATTTCTTGTTATAAAAGTAACTAAAATGTAAAGATTAGAACTTATTAGGTAAGAATAAGTAAGGTAAGAGTAATAATAATTTTCTACGAGGTATGCTCATGCATTGTGTCATCCAGTACCCCAACGTGAGTAAGTGATTTCCAACTTGTATGGCAGGATTATTAGTTAGAAACAGTTCAATTAGCAATAAAACTAAGTATAAACAGGTGAATACTGTGACGAGCATTAAGCTATTTAGGAAAGTAAATGTAGTTTCCAGTTACAATATGCAATCATTCTAGAAACACAAAAGGGTAATTTAGATATATTTCTTATTTTTTATGGTGATTATGAGATTGGTCAAATCGACTAAGTCCACATCGAGTTAAGATAAAGAAAATAACAGAGAAAATATAAAGCTTAATTGCAAGAAAATCTATAATGTTTATTTAGGAGGTTTATAAGGTTGCACAAATGAAATTTGAAAATTTTCAGATGAAGAAAAGCATTTTTAACTTAATGTGAAAATCACTTTGCACTTGGAGCAGTTAACACTCTGATTCCATGTATTTTAGTAAAAATACCTAATTAAAATATTGATTTTTTACAAAAGCCTTGTAATGTTTATTGAAAGCTTGTCAAATTTTGTTAAGTTACATGTACCATATTAAAAGTTATACTCTTTCAACTATGATAGTTACTTTGGGGTTAATAGGACAGTGTAATTATCTAACCCCCATATGGAAAGAGTTAAAGAACTCTTGTATGTAAATAGCTTTTTCACTATATGTGGTAAAGATAATGTTTTAATTTGGATCATGTAGTGATGGCATATATCCATAACTTTTTATATTTTTGCCTGTTGTTCAACTTTTCACTAACATGTAATTTTTATGTATGATTATCTGTATTTTCTTTACCTGACATATTGAAATATTGTTTAAGTTGTGGATTTGTGCATATGATATGGAAAAAAATATGTTTTATTATCCCTAAGATTGGTTTTGTAAATGTTTTTTAAATTTTTTGAAGAAATATTGCACAGTATAGAATTAAGTGTCATTCAGTTTTAAAGAAAAGATACATCAGATTTTAAATGGTAATGATTTGATCCTTTTTTAATTGTTACTTGTCTTTTCTAAACATTATTCTAGACATATTTGAGTACAGAACATTGGTTTTAATACAAGTCTTTGGATTTTTAATATCTAGAAATGGAAAGATATAAGAAATAATGCATATGTACATGTATGGTATGGATGAATTATATTATTAACAAATTATATCATTTAGTTAAAATCTGGTCTTATATAATATAGGGCCTGTTTACAGTGTAACTCATATTCTTTGGGGATTTTAAAGTAGATTTAATTCTAGAAAGCAAGGAGTAAATTACAATCTAAAGGGTTAGTATTGTTACACACCTCTTCAGATGTTTACTTAATAAGTGAGATTTAAAGAAGAGTTCTAAATTTAATATGATAGATGCACATTGAGCCAAACATATTGCTGATGGACTTCAGAGTTAGTGGGTAGCTCAGTTTTGGTAAACAAGTTGGCTCTTTCTAACCAGGTTAAACTTGCTCTGCTTTTGAATATTTTTCTCTGGGTGAAACATGGTAAGTGGCCTGAGAAAATGTGAATAATAACATAAATAAAATAAAATTATTTGTGTGTAATTCAGCTCCACAATACCTGTTATACTGGTCTGTGTTAAGTAATGCTGCCACATCATTTGTGTAGATTAATGTACAGTGTAATTCTCACTCACTGGTGACATGGTGTTATGTTACTTTATTTATTCATTAGTAAAATAATGATATAGTGAAATGGATAATTTAAGAAATAAACCATATATCAGAGCTATAAATATTTATTTTAATAGTTTCCTTTTTGTATTTCTCTTTCATTGTCAACTGCCACTGAACTGAAATACCTAGTAATGTACTTCAATATCATTTAATAAATAAATATGAACAGAGATTAAGTATTTTCTTTATTTGCTCTTTTCCTGGTTGCTAAAGACAGATGCCCCCCTAGTAGCACAGAGGTATGTCTGCAGACTTACAACGCTAGAATCTGGGTTTCGATACCCGTGGTGGGCAGAGCACAGATAGACCATTGTGTAGCTTTGTGCTTAATTACAAACAAACTAAAGACAGAATTACTGGGAATTTTTGTTAAATAATTTTAGGACAATAAACAATTTTTTAAGGATCCTTGTGGAGAATCATAAGAAATTAGTAGTATTTTTCTTGGGAGTTTTAGCTTAGTAAAGAAATTTAGACAATTGTTTACATGTTAGCAGGCTATCAAGCTCTTGTTAAAAGTAATACAAACCAATGTTCTCTGAATAGAGAGTTAAAGCAGATTCATTTTATTTTAGTAAATTATTTATCTGGTACTTTCTGTCTTTTTCTCAAATTAATTCAGAGTAGGTTTTGCTAGGCAATTAGAATTAAATAAGTTGGTCTTGGGGCTAGATAAAAATTAAATTGTTTTAAATAGAAAAATTATGATTTAATTTTAAGCAGAGCACAATGTTTGTGAGTAATGTTCAGTTTAGGGCATCAAATATAAGAAAGTAATATTGCTGACCAGTGGCATAAATGTTGGTTCCAATACGTTACTTCCTTCTGCTCATAGGATTAGCTATTCTCATCCAATGCTGCCATTTATATACAAATTTTTTCTTTACGCATGCCACAAGCCTTCTACTCCCCTCTATTGGAATAGATTGATTCCAACATGCATCACTTCTCTACCAATAGGAGCATGACATACTCAATGATGCATGTGACTCCCTCTATACACGTCTACCGCACTATCACTTTAAGGTTTGGCAGTGTTTGTGCTCGGTTGTGTTCCTTTTTTATTTGTTTAAAGTTTCACGTTTGTCTTTAGTATACTCACAAAGTGGTCTTCATTTATTTTCACTTCTAGTTTTTATTAAGACATTTTCTTAACTATAATCCTAGTTCATTATGAATAACTATGAATTCCGAAGTTATTGTTACCACTTGGGGGGTTCGCACTTATGACTAGCACTATGTCTTAGGCCTCAAGTGTGGGCGACACAATGGGGGATTTATCCACATTTATTTGCCAGGAGATTGAATGTTACATGGGTCAACCTCTGTCTCTGGACCTCGCCCCACTTCAGGTGGACGAGGACTTGGATCACCTATTTCCATCTTCTAATATTACCGTGCCTTCCCATGTCCTGCCTGAGAAGTCAGCTAGGTCTAATACAGTCTATTTGGATTTCGTTTCTGAGATATGTGAGGTTTTATCCCTTTCCCCTATTTCCTATGAACCACATCCTTCCTTACTAAGTTACCAATCTTCCCATCCCTACTTGGTTTTTCCCCCTCCCCAGATATTTGGGTACATGCTGACCAATTTGTCTCAAAATTAAGTGGTGGGATTAGCATGCCTCACCCCCCCATGGGCTTCGGATCAGTTTGCTCTTGTATATCATCGTGCAGACTGTCGTTTACTGGACCAACAGTTGTTCTGTTTCATTTTGTCTGTTTGGGGTAGGACCCCTAAATCTCCTGTAAGTCTGATCCATGCCCAATTTTCTCACCTTCATCTTACCCTCACAACTCTTTTAGGGTATTTCTCTACCATCCATCTTCTCTCTCTGAAGATCTCCACCAAAATCCTGATAGGTTTCCTGGGGACAACCTCTCTCTTCTTTCCTCCATGTTGGCTAGTTGTTGTCTTCAGCTCTGGCTTTACATACGTGGTTTCTCTGTTGTTGGGACCTTCTAGGTTGTGATGCATCCTTAACTTGCATCCCTTTACTATCATCTTATCTTCAGGATTTATGTATGGCCCAATTTCTATGGTAATATGTCTTTCACACGATCTCCGACTCTTTGGAATCACAAGTTGCATCAGTACAACAAGTCTACCCTTTCTAACCTTGTTGCCAATTTTCTTAATCACTGGCGTCCTTTTGTAAAGGATCATTGGGTTCTTCAAGTTTTATCGGAAGGA